GGTCCCTCTCCCCTACACTACTCTCCAAGCAGACACAAAGGCGAACACAAGGTTTCAACTGGCAGATCAGAAAACGTTCCTACAAGGATTTTTGCACATAAGATTGCAGTCATTTTTACCAGATGACTTCCTCATTATGTTTCCTTTAGAAAAAACAGTGATTTATGTGACAGGCTTACTTTCCAAAAGAAGTCATGTTATTTGTCTAATACGCTGTAAAACTCCCAGAAGAAGGTACATTTTCCTGCACTGCTTATAATACAGGTTCTTCCGACAGCTTCAAGGATGAGAGGAATGAAAGGCATGGCTAGGGAGGATTCAGACACGGGATACAAAACGTCTCGTCCTGCTTGTGAGCTGCAGGTGAGTCCAAGCAGCGATCGCTGCTCTGCAGCAGCTGGTGGAAGGTCAGGGCTGTACCCCAGTCACCAGCAGAGGGGTGGGAGGGGTTCTTCTCCAGTGGGGAGACAGCGGGTGACAGCATGTTCTCAGCCACGCTTGGCTTTTTATGAATGATGGATTTTTACTCTTGAAGCTTCCTGGGCTTTCTGCATGCTCAGACTAAGATTTAAAGAGAACCCAAGCCTGGAGGGACATCTGTTCTTGTAGCTTCGGCCTGGAGTCACGCTGCTGTTTCCCTATTGCTGACCGTGGGACATGGCACAGCTCCTGCAGCATCTGATGTGGAAAAGTGAGTAATGCCAGGAGCAGAGAGGCTGGGGCAGGCAGTGGGAGAGGGCTTAAACACCAGAGCTTTTGCTCTTGCTTTCATTTTCTTGTTCCATGTATTAATTTCCTTAAACCCCTTCAATTCAGCCTCGATATTGAAAAAAAAAAATTTAAGTGTGCACCCAACTCTCCCCCATGCTTTAGGGCATGCTGCCTTGCTGCTGGCAGGCACAGGAAATTGTACTTACGCATTTTCGGTCGTTTTTCCACCAGCCTGTGTACACCTTCTTATATTCCTTGGTTACAGGGTCAGGAATGCTGTATGAGCCATAACCATCCCGCTTCCCAAACTTCCAGTCACCGCTATAGATAGCTCCTGTGCGTTTCCATACCTGGGTGCCTTTACCTGTTTAACAAACAAGAGGAACAATGGGGAGACCATTACGGTTGTTAGGAGGAGGTTTTACGGGGCTGCCTTCCTACAGCTCCATCCTGCACCGAGGCAGGTTTATGTCTGGGATTCAGTTTAGCTTCCTGAGTCGGAACCATCGTTAATCTTGATCAGGGGCTTCCTGTGTGGCCTTGCTGAACACACTTAAATCTTTCCAAACCTCGGTTTACTGCTTGTAAACAAGCCTGTCCTGCTCCGGCTGCTCAGGGCTCAGTCAGGGTCTCCTTCCCCTGCTCTGTCTCCTGCAGCACCCATCGTGGCTTGAGGATAAATTAATTTTCCTAAAGCCAAGTCAGGAAACAAGAGAGTTCCAGGGACTGTGCAGCCAGGGCACATCCCAGTCTGTGGAGGTGACGGTAGTCTGCTGTGTGTGCAGAGGATTTTTAAACATCTATAATCTAGAGATTTTGGGCAATTGCCCCTGAGTGCATGCAAAAGCTCTTCAAGTTACCTGTTAGAAATATTCCTACATACATTTTTGCATGCCATAAATCAAAGACACACACATACACGTGTATATATATATATAGTCATACATTATGAATGGTCTTTCAGGTGCATATACAACCACTGACAACTCCCTGCCTCTAGGAACTTTTGTAAAGATATCTAAATTGGTGTTTTTTCTCAAAATGGTCTATCTTACCATGCTTCAAGTTGTCCAGCCATTCTCCAGTATACTGATCCCCATTTACAGCATAGACTGTATGTCTTAATCCACATTTCTGTGCTTTCTTATCCCATTTATGCCAGAGCGGCTCTGTAGTCCTGCGGTGTTTTATACGATATATATTGTTCATGGCTGGACAGGAAAAAAATTATTGTCAGCAATAAATTAGAGAGAAATTCCTAAAGCAGGTACTGGCAGAACAGTCTATTTGTGAGCTATATTTTAATGTGCACCTCAGTCAGTAATTGATGTCTGGCTTTGGAGGGGTAAAACAGAGATATAACAGAAGCTATCCAAAAATACTGAAGTTCAAACCAGCACTAACTGAAAAGATGCTCACAGCATAGCCTGGCCTGTTAGGAAATGTTAAATAAGTCTCAGCAGGTTGGGTCTGTGGTGGGCAGGAGGCTGTGGACTTGCCCAGGGCAGGACAAGTGCTTGCCAGACAAGCAAGCTGCCAAGGAGGTGGCTTCCGAAGTGACGTGGGTTTTCAAGCACGAAGATCAGGCAGGGGATGACAGGCACAGCAAGGAGGTGATTTGGGTGTCAGGGGTCTGGAGGGAAAGGATCAGTGTGGGGGAAGAGGAGGGAGAAGAAGATGTTCTGACCCATCAGTACAGAGTGGAGTGCAGCATGGTGGCCGTTTCTGGGCATTGCCTTGAATGGCTCGCTATTCAGTGCGGCAAGAATGCCGACGTGGACTCGGAGGCGAGAGCGGTCTCATATAAACCATAAATAAATGCCAAAAGGTGGCTGGAGAAATAAAAAGCAAGTTTCTGTGAATGCTGTTAGCACCCAGAGCTTGACTGGAACCTGGCAGGGTGGGATGTTCTCCAATTTTGTCTCCTGGGCTCCCCCTTCTGTCCTGATCCGCTGGACTGAGCCATATCTAGCGATTTTGCTGCGTCTCTCCCTTCTCCACAGAGCAGAGCTCCCGTTCCTGCTGTGCTGCAGGTGCCAGGGAGCCCAGAGTCGGGGGAAGAACGGAGCTTGGGAGGAGAGGGGAAAGGAAGGTGCTTCGGGTCATTGCTAGGGAATAAACCTAGAAATTATCTCTAAGAAAATAGTTAGCATTCATCCTCAGTTCTCCACGTAGCTGTGGGAAATGGTCATTCAACAGCTATTTGGGGTGATATCATTGCTAAAAAAAAGTACTTCTGTGTCCATGATGAGCCGTCCTCCCCCATATGCAGCTGTGCTGTGTAGTGTGCGTCCCACATGGCTCCTTACCGTGGGGCTGTGGGTGGCGCAGGCAGGGCTGGGGGAGCGCAGGCAGGGCTGGGGACCTGCACTGGCACTGCATTGTGAGCTCAGACCAGGGGAGGTTCCTGCCACACCATGGAAGGAGAAGGGCAGGAGAGTGGGTTCCTGGCTGGTCGCTTCCCTTTCAGCTGTCAAACGTGGGTGCCTCCTCCATCAACCTCAAGGAGAGGGGCAAAGGCAAAGACCACCACCTTGACAACTCTTGAAGCAGAAGTTTTGGGGACGGGGTTGTCTGTGATGGCAGAGGAGGATTTGGCAGCTGGAGTCCCCTGGCCATGCCACTCACCTGTGAGCATCTTGGTTTGAGGACATGGAGGACAGGATCTGTCCTTCGGTACGATGGAGTAGCAGCCCGCTGCACAGGATGGTTTTTCTGCAACACAAATACAAGATACACCACAGCTGCTAAGTTCTGCCCTCATCTTTGGGTGCCACAGCCCCTGCAGAGGGGGGCTCTCACTAATATTTGCCAAGGGCTGGGGGTCTGCAGGACACGGAGCTGCACGTTGCCAGCTCATGTCTGTCCTCTCCTTGCTGGGGAAGCAGAAGAGCCAAGTTACGGCTACGAGCACTCACCCCAACACTGGCAGTGACCTCTGAGCAGCTTAGGGCTGTGAAGAGAGATGTCCTTGCTACCCCTGGCAGATGGGAGCATCACCATCCCACCAGCGCATCTGATCACTTCTTTAGTTTGAAGATTAGGATTTTAAAACCTCCAGCTGCGGGGGCAGCCCCAGCACCCACTGTCTCCTTGCCATGCCCTCTGAGGCACAGCCCATGTGGAGCACCGCAGGTAACACAGGCTGGCAGAAGCCACCTTGATTTGCTGAATTCCCTTCCAAATTTGCAACAGCGATGCTAGATTTGCGTTAAGTGCTAACGTAGTCAGTATTCGCTGCCCTGGATGTTTTTAGCCACCTCCTACAAGGGCGCAGGGAGGCTGGCAGCAAGAGGCAGGCGATGCAGAGCCTCCCGCACAGGTTCTGTGTTTCTGCAGTCAGGGGATGCCTTGCAACCCACAACGGCGGCTGCAGCTCTCGGCACTGACGGCTAGAGGCTGCTGCTCCCATGCGTCTCTGCAGCCACTGCTGCGCTTGGGGATAAGAATTTTACAGAGTCTTGCGTCCTCCTCCAGAGATGGCTCTAAACACCTCAGAGTTTTGTCAGGTTTCCAGTAAAATGCACCTTTAGTTTGTCCAGCCCTATGGGGAGCCTATTTTTTTCCTCTGGCTCTTCACAGGACTTCAGAGCAATGCAATTTAGCTACAACTGTACTTTTTTCCAGCTGTACATACTAACTTCATAAAAAGTAAGGTGGAAAATTCAACCGGCTGCAGAGAAGGGGCTGCTGACTGTCCCTGGCAACCCTCTGCTTGCAACTGCACTGCATCCCGTAGTGTGACCTCCGCACCAGCTCTGCAGCAGCACCCTGCCTGACCGTCACCCAGCCCTGAGGACGTCCCGGGTGAGTTCACCCCTTGCATTGACTCTGGCACCACAGCTCTGCCCCACACCGGGGTCCCTTTGCTGGCACCCTCCGGCACAGCTGAGCCATCCCCAGCCCCTCCTCGCCCCCATGGTGGTGTCTCCAAGCAGAGTGCTCAGAGTGCCTTTTCCTGCTCCTCCCCAGAGAGAGCACGGCACCAGAGCAGCGATGGGAGTGGATGATGGGGAATACCCATGTGCTCGGTTTGTAAAGCACCCTCGAGTTTGGCCCACGCACTCCTGCTGCCCCCCTGCCCCAAGAACCACCCCATGGACACCAACCTGCACTGGTCGCCGGCTGGGTGCTGCTGGCTGCGTCGGCAGGGTTGTCATAGCAACTCTGACAAACTCCTGCGTGAAGGGTCATGGGAGCGCGGCGGGAGAGCTGCCGGAGAGCTGGAGGATCAAGCGGCTGCAGGTGCAGAGAGATGCTGGTGGGACGCAGGCTCACCCTGCATGTCCCACGGTGAGGATGAGGGATGGAGCTGGGATCCTCCGCGGAGCTGCTGAGTGCACACTGCTCTCCCAAGTTATGTGTCTTCAAGTTAAGGGTTATCCAGCAGAATATTAAATGGTGATAAGCAACGAGCGTTTCATCTCTGGTTGTTTTTTTTTATATGCGCAGCAGCAGAAGTCTGGAAATGAAAGCACTGATTACATACAGTACCGATGGGTAACATATAAATCAGTCTTGCAAACATCGGAAGAAGGATAAACCCCCTGAACATGCACATCAGAGGTCTCAAACACAGAAATCTGAATAAACCTGACACTTCTGCCTTGTAATGCCCTCATCCATTGCATTTCTTTCGCAATCACAGCAAGCAGGAGTTGCCATTATGGCCTTGTGGGTGTCTGTGATAATCCCCTCTAACGGGTACTTAACCCAGCACATTTCAAGTAAAAAACTGAAGTTCTTGTCTCCCTCCCATAAGCCAACATTTTTGTAAAGGATGTCAGATATGTAGAATATATAATTTAGCCAAAATGTGAGGTATAAACTTGAACTGACCCAGAAATGCCCTAACCAAATCCCCTTCCTCTCCCAAAAGCAGTCGTTTCAAGGCACAACACTGAGGTCACTATGAAACGTAGGGTTAAAATCCAGGTTACGGTAGGCTAGGAGGGGAACTTCCTTTTTCCTTGATGCAATTGCCCTTTTTCTGGCCTTTCTAGCCTAAATATGGCCCCAATTTTCCTTATTATTTTTTTTTAAACTTGTTTTTTTGCTCTCACAGGCATTGGTCACTGCCACCAAGGAGCACCAGCAAAGCCTCCTCCACGGGGGCGTGACAGGGCTTCAGTTCTGTTGCTCTCCATAAGGCTGGTGCTTCACTTGTCTGGCATTTGATCAAACCTCACATCTATTAAAAATGAAAGAAAGCTGTTAAATTGGTCTGTGTATCTTACACTTTAACTTAGCCCATTCTACTGCCAACACAATTCGTTGCAATGGACTTGTAGCTCTCCACTTTCTTATAGTTTGGACACACCTAGGAGCAAACCAGGTATGGGGAGGATGCATGGGGAAAATGCCCAGAAACACGCCATTTGTAGAGCAAGGTCCCATGACTTATGATGCGCCTTAATTATTTTCAGTTTAAAGAGCAAGATTTTTTAAAGATTAAATAAATCTAAAGGACCTCAATATTCTACATCTGAAACCAATCATTTTCACAGTGAAAGGAGACAGCTGCTCCAAGCTGAGTTTGATCTCACAAAGCTTGGGGAATCACCCAAGTGAAATGCCCAAACCAACTGAAAACTGTCAGAATCAATTTAAGTTTATTCTGGGAACTTTGTAGAATAAACAGAGAAAAAACATCTAGAGAAACATATGTCGGAATTCTTTAAAGGTGAAGAATGTGACAACAACATACTGTGGAAGTGGGATGCTCAGATGTGTGTTTTATTGATGCTATATTCAAAAGAAAAGCCAGAGGAAGCGGTGGGAGGGTCTTGGACTCCAACCAAGCATGTGTGGGGTTGATCACAGAGTGGGTGCAGCGCTGAAGGAGCTTCCCCACCACTCTGTTTTCAAGAATTAGTATTAGCAGGATTTAGGAGGGATTGAAGTGAAAGGTTGACTTTTGCTTAAGAGGCAGCCTTGTGGGAAAGCGTTTTTTAAACTCTTCCTGCCTTTTTGGTGGGAGCAGCTCTCTTGAGATAAACAACATGTTGGTTTTACATCTAAACAACCTAAAGTAGGAACTCCAGGTTACCTGAAACGTTCAAGCACTCACATATTCATGCAAAGTGAAATGTTGAAGTCCTTGAAGCTGTTGTTTATGAGATACCCTCTCCCCACGAGTCTCTTTTGACACAGATTTACAGCTAATTGTCTCTACTTAACTACCTGCAACAAGGCTGTTCAAACATAGG